CCTCCCCGGCCGCCGCGACGGCCGACTCGAGTGCAACGGAGCCGGCGGCGCTGCCCCCGCAACGCTAGCGCAGGTCAGCCTCCACCACGGGCCCAACGACCTCTTCTCATACGGCGTCAGCCTCGTCGACGGCTTCAACGTCCCCTTGACCATCACCCCGCACGAGGGCCACGGCGTGTGCCCCGTGGTAGGCTGTAAGGCCGATCTGCTCGCCACGTGTCCCGAGAGGCTGAGGGTGACGTCGCACGCCGGCGTGGTGGCGTGCAAGAGCGCCTGCGAGGCGTTCCGTACGGACGAGCTGTGCTGTCGGAACCAGTACAACAGCCCGCAGACGTGTCGGGCGTCGAGTTACTCGGAGTTTTTCAAGCGCGCGTGTCCTGCCACGTTTACTTTTGCTCACGACAGCCCCACGCTCATGCACCAGTGCTCGTCGCCACACGAGCTCAAGGTCATCTTTTGTCACTAGGGAGAGAGAGAGAGAGAGATGGTTCCACTTCAACGTGTTGTTGTCTTGGTTCTGGGTTGGTTTGAATATGCAAATAAATTAAGTTTAGGGGTTTAAGGTAATGTAGTTTTTCGCTTGTTGTGGTTGTGTAATTTGTGTGATGTTTGGGGCTGGTTATGCAATGAATATGCAATTAGTGTTGTGTTGGTACAGAAAAGGAAGTACATTCTCATGAAAACACTTGTCTTTTTTGCCTGAAGAAATACATAATTAAATATATTTTGCCATGGCTTTTTCTTACTAGCTATTATTAAAATCTATCTAAATCTCAAATCAAACAACGCGCACATAAAAACAGTCATCCATGCACAAGAATTAACAACTTTTACTTAAAGTATGACAGATAAAGAAAACTTTGTTGCTCCGCGGTGTGATTGTCTCTCTCCTACTACGAGAAATAATAGAATATTACAGTATGAGTGGATAACGTAGTTTATTTTTCTCATTTTTATAAAATAATATCAATAAATATCCACTTATATTATAACACGTGTTCAAAATATACTACTATTAAATAATGGAGTTTTATAAAGACAGTGAAAAGAAGCAAATCCAGATTTATAAAAAACTGAGCAAAGTAAAAGAAAGTAGAGACAGAAGTGATTTGCGTATAAAAAGAAAAGAAGTTGGACTAGTACATGCACTATTAAAAGGAAAGCGAATCTCTGAGGAATATCTGATGGGAGCAGGAGCAGGCATGAGACGAAGAAAATGCACTGTCAGCCACACAAATCTTTTTGCTTCTTTTTTCTCGAAAATTCCCATTTACTATTTTTTTCTTCTTTTTACATGCAATCATGTATTACTGTGCTGTCACGTGTAAATGTGCGTAACCTTTTGCTTTATTCGACTGCCATTCTTTCTCTCCACCTTTACCTTGTTTCCGGCCGGTTCCACCTTTTGAACCTTGGAAGAAGAAAGTTGAAGAATCTGGAGGACTCACTGGGTCGGGTCGGGTCAGGCCCACGCCCACCCCAAATTTTGAGGCTCAATCTAAGCCTGGGTTTGTTGCAACCTAGTTGGGCCTTTCATGGGATGGGACATCCAAACTTTTTATATTGACATTACGGTATTCAATTAATTGACCTCATAAATGAATGATATGGACTGTGATTGGATAATGTTGACCCAATACCTTGCTTCAACGACTAAAATGTGAGTTTGGACTAGTCCAATCATATGTGGGGTCTAAGCAACGAATTTTTTTTATTTGTAATGAAAATAACACTATTTTACTATTCTCGACGACCAATTACCTACTAACTTAGTTAGTGGGCTTTTTTTTTCGGGGGTGAGAGTGGGTTTCTTTTTTTTTAATGTGAATAGTAACAGTCATTGGCCTTTGCCATGAGAAATAGGTGGAAGTGCTTTAAGGGACGAGAAGTCACTCATTCTTCTTTTTCCATCACCTGATGTGGCCCCCATCAACGTTGCCAAAAATCTTAGATCTCGACGGTCAATCCACAGCTCAACAGAGAAACTACTAGAACCTGTTATCATGCTGACCGTCCCACCACACTATCACACGTGGTACCACTCAGCTCGCGACAACACCGACTCCAACAGGAGACACCCGTAGACTATCCCAGCTCCCACTCGTCCCCACACTCCCCATAGGGAGAGTCCACATTCGGAACGTTCTCTGTCTATAAATACACGAAGTGTCGGCCTTATAAATCTCCCTCTTTCTCTCTCCTCTCGCTACACCGTCGCGTAGAGCTCCCACGCCAGCTCTATCTATCCTTTCATGGCGGCGTCCCAGGCGAGCCTTCTGCTTCAGAAACAGCTCAAGGGTATTTAAAAAACTTCAATTCAATCAATTTTGTGTGTGTAAAGCACTCATCTTGGATTCTATCTTTGATTGGTTTATCGGATTGGATTCTTCTACCTGTTCGTTTGGTGAATCTGATTATCTGTTTTGGTTATGGCAGATCTTTGCAAGAACCCAGTAGACGGGTTCTCGGCCGGTCTGGTCGATGAAAACAATATCTTTGAGTGGAGCGTCACGATTATCGGACCGCCCGATACGCTATAGTATGTGCCTTTTCGGATTCTTTTCCGCTTCAATTTTGTGCCTTTCTTGATTGGGTTTTGTGGTTTAACTGCTGTGCATAAGATGATCGATTTCGGTGGTTATTTATGTCTTTGAGTGGGATTGGATCAAGGGTGATTGAGATTCTTGTGATTCTTGTTCTGTTTAATTTAATTTTGTTTTGGGGATTTTCAATTTTATTGTAGTTTTCTCAATTTTGTGTTTTGACTTTTAAAGTTGTAGTTGAGGTGGCAGATTTAGGGTTTTGTCCTAAGATGGGATTTATCTGAGCTTGTGATATGATTCTCTTTCAAGTTAGAAATTGTGAAAGTTCCATATTTGGAAGTTAGTCTTTAGTTACAAATTGCTTAGTTTGGTTCTTAGGGTATGTGAAGGTAAAGGTGAGGACTTTAAATTAGTTGCACAGTTAGACTGGATTTTTTTATTACAAATTTCCCATATTTGGAATGTGGTTTTTCAAATTGGGCACAGTATTGGTTTCAGCAACGTATTTTGTTTGTATTATTTCGTTACTTTTATGGATGGGAGTATCGTCCGTTTTTTATCATAAGCAGAGCATTCATTTGGAAAATTGCCATTCACTTGCGATTTGTTGTGGCATTTAAAGCTGTGAGTTGTGTCCATATCACATTCATCATTCATTTAATCTAATTCGAATTAATCATTGCATGTTACCTAATTGCAGTGAAGGGGGATTCTTCAATGCCATCATGAGCTTTCCTAATAATTATCCGAACAGCCCTCCGACGGTTAAGTTTACTTCAGATATATGGCATCCCAACGGTTGGTTTCTATCCTAAGTATGCATGTTTGATAGGTTGCACTTGTTATTAGAGGACTGATCCTGGTTGTTGTCTATTTGAAGTCTATCCTGATGGCCGTGTTTGTATATCAATTCTTCATCCTCCTGGTGAGGATCCGAATGGTTACGAGCTTGCAAGTGAGCGCTGGACGCCTGTCCATACGGTATGGTATTATGTAAAATAAATAGTGTCCACATGTATCACACTCAACTCTAATCCTAAAATTACCCGTAACTCAAAATCTTTAGAATGAGAGTGCAAGTCATAAAGCTAAGAACACTACATATATATATTTATATTACATACCTCTTTTGTAATGGTAGTAATTTCTCTTCACTAAGGTAGCTGGAGAGATGAGAGACCAAAGTCATAAGTTGAGTTTATGAGTTGTCAGATCATTATCAATACATCACATGGTTGTTAAATCTATCAAGTCTTGTGCCTGAGGCTCACCCTAAGGTTCAATGAAAAGCATTTGATGTCTTAACTTGGGGCTCTTCTTGTGTATAATATATTACTGAAGGGCTTGTCTCCAAGGTACCATAACATGCTGTCATTAGGCAAGTTTCCAATTTTCCTTCCTGCTGGTCAAAATTTGTGGTTTTTCTGCTATATATTGTTTGTGAAGCAACTTGGTAAGTCAAGGTGCTCATGAAACAAAAAAACTAAGTATATGTTGATAAACATCTTATCTTTGTTTTTTATTGTTTAGTTTTATTAAAACTATAGTACTGCATTAACAAACTCAGAAATGTTGTATCCAGGTTGAAAGCATAGTTTTGAGTATAATATCAATGCTATCCAGTCCGAATGATGAATCTCCTGCAAATGTTGAAGCTGCGGTAAGTGATCCCTTGTTCTATTGTCAAAACTCTTTTCTCTTTCTGTACTATCCTCTACTTCATGCTGATTATTATAACCTATGCCCCCGCATGGATGACCAAAATTTTATTGAAAAGTAATATGTTTCTTTTGTGTCAGTTGTTCATATTGTTAGAAATGGACATGATTGTACTGTTCAGTGAGATTGTCAATTTTGGCAAAGTTGCAGATGATAGATTTGTATCTTAATGAATTCTTCTATTCCTATAAGACAAATTAGGTTTATGTGCAAAGCACCTTGTAAAAATTAAATTGGATTGTATCTTGTTAAGAAGATATGTTGGTTTGAGAGATATGATGTGTGGATGTAGTTTGCTCATCTGAATCTAGCCATTTGGATGGTTGGAATAAGATTTAGGCTACTACACTAAACCATTCTTTATGTGTACAATTGTGTGCTGTGGCAAGAGATTTCGTCATGTTTCTGTTTTAGGATCGTGGTGTTGATCAATCAAGCCCTATTTTCCAATTTGTTGACTGCTTCACAAATGGAAAATTGGAACTTGTTTTTAACTTACCCTCAAAACTGATATATAGGCTGATTGTAGTTGTAATTTTTTTAAAGCTAGTTTTCATTTTTATTTGTGCTTTTGTTTTTGTTCTGTCTGTTGATAATTTAGTTTACTACTGTACCTTGCATCTTCTTTCTCTTGCACATCGTGTTAGTAGCTGGTGTTTAAGTACAAACCTCAATTAGTAATGGCGCATGAGTGTTGTACTTGTCTAAGTATTCTAAGATGGAATTTAACTTAGTTCCACGTTGACTATTCTAAGATTGTGTTGGTATTATGCATATTGCAGAAGGAGTGGAGAGATCGGAGAGACGATTTCAAGAAAAAGGTGAGCCGCTGTGTGAGAAAGTCACAAGAGATGCTATGAATGAATATGACGTGCTACCAAATGAAGCATTTTCTCTTCTCTCTGCACAAGTGTGTCGTCAGAGAGGATGTGTTAATTGGCAAAGCCCTGGCCCTTGTAGAATGCCATTGATTTTCTCACTTTTAAAAATATCTTCATTTCTTTTTGTTCTTTGTTCTTTGTTTTTGTTTTGTATTTGTTTTTCTTCTCATTGTCTAGTAATTGTTAAAACGTGGAACATCTTTGTATTCAATTAGTATTTGCCCATTTGATGAGGAAGTGTTCTTTTCTGGTGCCCTGCCTAGCTCACCTATCAGCAGATGTGTGGGTTCCTCGTGGGCCTCACGAGTCTCACACACGCTCAATTACAGCACTTAAGGCAAAGGGCATATGGTATGGCCTAAACCAAAAAGTTTTTGCATTACACATTCATATTTTACTTTATTTACCAAAAAAATTCAGTTGGCCTGAATTGCACCAATCAACTTCAAAACACTTAGGTTTGGTCCATCAACTTCACCAGTATTTGTTCATCAACTTCTCATGTCCATGAACTCAATATTTGTTCAAATCGTCATAATTGTTTTCCAATAAAAGTAAATTTTGTAACCTGTATGTTGCGAGACTTTAACAGGTATGACTGGGAAAATTGTACACAACGCATTGAAAACAATTACCAGAAGTAGCTAGAAGTAGGAAGTAAATTAACCTTTTACTCATATTTATCTCAAATTTGTACTCAAATCTGGGAAAATACTATTTCTAGCTCATTTATTCTTCATTCATGGGCACCCATGGAACTAGCTAGCTGTGTCCTTATTAATTTGCAGCAGCGGCCGCAGGAAGGAAAGATTAAGATTGTGAATCCTACTTTGCTGTTGGTGGGTTGACGTAGCTTCCCAACCTGACCACGATCCCATCAGGATCTCGTACATACCCCACTTTCTGTCCCCACTCCTTCTCTTCTGGCTCACTCACCGCCACCGCCCCATTCTCTAGCGCCCTCTGCAGTAAGAGATCAGTTGAAGAAAGTCATGAGTTCAAATCTTCTGAGAATAATCGGTAATTAAATCGAATGGAAAAGAAAACCACATGGGCAAACATGCCTTACGAAGTTACGAGTGAGAAACCACATGGTACCAAACAGGAATTGACAACCAAAAAGAAAAAAAAAGTTATTATATATGATGCTTACTTTGTAGGCAGCATCAACGTCAGGGTAGGCAAAGCAAACCTCAACCGGCTGCCTCTCACGGCCAGAGCTTGGGGTTTTAACTGCACCCGTCAGATCATCCGTCTCGTGCTGGTGCACCGGCGTGAACGCTATCGTCGTTTGCCCACTTTCTAACTCCCCCCATCTACCATAATCATCATCAAAGACTATATTGTTAATTATTAATTAATTAAACCTCTATTCTATCAACAACTTTAAATACAAATACAAATACAAATAAAAATACCTGTTGGAGTCGTCTATACGACGAATGTTGTAGCCGAAGGCTTTGGAGTAGAAGGCTGTGGATTTAGCAACGTCCTTCACGTACACCACCGTGTAAGCAAATACTGTGTTCATCTTCGACCCCGTCGTCGCCATTTTTATTTCTTAATAAATTCTTTCAGCAATTAATTAATTACTGGCTTTGCGGATGAACGGCGATCCATGCGTTTGCGCTTTTATTCAGGCGCTTTCAGTTTCTGTTTCATTCTCTGGTCTTCATCATACAAGTACGTGGCGAGTTGTCGAAATTCGGGGAAGTGACACGTGGAGTTAGTACAAGTGTCAAGTACTGTCCTGTCTCTTGACCAGGATTTGCTGTTGGGCCAAGGCGAGTAACTCTCATGATATAATAGGCCTAACTTTGTCCCCAAATATTTTTTGTTCATTATATTTCGTTGTCCGAGTTCATCCCACCCTGTAACAAAAGAACTATAGTTTCTTCTGTTTTTACGGAAATCCATATCTTTCTAGTTTTAATCATGTTATTTGATCTTTCAATTCTAACAAATTTCATTTTGGAGGCTATTGAAAAAAAATATTCGTATAATTTATGGGTTCAAAGTCACTAGAATGTATGGATTAACAATGAAGTTAATCGGGAGGGAGTGGAGATAGGACCCTATCCATGCCTTCATGCCCAAAATTATATTCGATAAGATCGAAAACCCCCCTATGAAAAATTGTCATCCCCACTACAATTCATCAAGAAAACTCGCCGTGTGGTTCGTCATTCGGCGATTCACGAAACTCTTACCATCATCACTTTGAGTTTGACCGCCAAAACAGTCCCCACACAGAGTTTAAAAGTTACCCACTGCACACACGTGTCAACCAATGTCTGCAAGTCACGTGAGAAAAGCTCCCCCTGCCTCTCTCTCGTTCATTCGGGTTTGTTCCTTCGTCCTCCCTCTGCTACTGCTACCCGATAGCGATGGAGATCGAGCTCATATTTATATCCCAACCAAAAATCCACACATTAATTCGAAAAGACTTCCCTACAAAATAGCCTTTGATCGCTTCCTCCGATTCTCAGAACCGCCAAATGCTCCCAACCCTAACTCATCCAATTCCAGCTCTCTTTCTAAGATCGCGATCGAGCACAATCTCCAGATCGCTAAGATTTTGAGGTGAGAACTGACAACTGTTTCTTCGATTTCGAGCTCCAATTATAATGTTTGCATTTTCAATTTTATACAATAGGTCGCAATTTAGATTTGAGATTAGATTAGCCTTTGAAGGAATTCACACACCGGTTATCAACTTACCAGTGTTTGGCCGGTGAGAAATTGAGAGAAAGCGGAGAGGGAAAAGAAAAGATTTTTTTTACTGAAATGAATCCGAATGAGTAAGAATTACTTATCGCACCCGTGTTTATTTACACATTTGCTAAATACACCCTCCATCACCAATTGCAGGTGGTTTTCCTTTTCCGCACAATGGGAGACACTTTGCGTAGAATCCCTCAAGAGGCCAATGTTGCTATGACTGGAGGAAAAAAGAAGTCACATGATCATATAGTTGCTTCTCGCCCCAACGCCTCTTTGCAGCACATAAATTCGCTTCGAATCGGGAATGGAGCTGCGAGCCAGGTGGCATTGTTTTTGCTCAAAATGGCCGCATTGGAGACAGTAAGGAGGTTCTCAAGGGCCAAGTGCCCTTGGGCATGGCGTGGCTTTCAGGCTTTGCAATTTCTGTGCTATCCACCGTTCAAGTGGTTTCAACGATTTGCCCCTTTCAAGGCTTTGGTCAATGGCATGCAGGTCAAATTCTTGAAGTCTTTGTTTTTCTTTTTCCCATTATTGTCATATTTCTACCACAATTTAAGAACCCGAAAAAGGTCTTATGGGATTTTACACTACTACTTCATATTCTTGGTTTTTGCGTATTTGGATGGAACTTTTTGATTGCCAAGTTCCTTTTACGTGAATCATTATGTGGGAGATTTGATGTAGTTGCATGTTTCCAGGTAGTTTCGAAACCATTACTAGTGCTCTCCATTGCAACGGCTTTCTCTGATGAAGCTGAGCTCTTTAATAGAACCTCTGATGGCATCAACAATTCTGATGCATGTTCAGAAGTGGACTCAGAAGCATCCTCTGAGTGTATCAACGATTCTACTTTGGATACAAGGTAATAGAAGAAATGAGCTTTTCAGTTTCTGCACCTGATTCATTATCTGACACCTCATCAATTCATTTTGTGAGTATGCTATAATAAGGGGTCAAGTGTTCCTTATAACTTTGTATTTCAATAACATCTCCTAGCTTTGGTCAATTGGAATTGTGAAAATAATGGTTCTGCTTGCTAAATGAATAGTCATTTTAAATGCCCAAAAGCAATGGCAGTTACTCATATTGTTATTGATTTGGAAGACCAATTTTACTGCTTTCATTGGGTTTCTTTTTTCTTCCAAGGGAGGTTTAAGACCAATTTTACTGCTTATGTAATGCACAGGATTCCTGATGAATTTCCTCAAAATGTACAACCTGAAATGTGGTTGACACAACTCCACAAAGAGCTGGAAACACAAGGGATTACATTGCCAGAAAGGTGATTTAATGCATGTGCCATTTTTTGTTTCCTGATAGTAATGTGCCAAAAATTCTAACTCTGTATATAACATGTGCTAATATCCAAACACAAATTTTACTTGAAATCTTTCTTTCTCTTAATAGGTTTATGAAATTTTGTTACAGTTTTGTATGCCTCTACAATATTATTTTGTTTGTCTTCTTATGTTCCCTTGGCTTTAAGCTCAAATTAAAGGGTGGGGGTAGGGTTGAGGTTGATCTTAGTTAACAAATTTCATCAAGAGAAAATAAAATACTTACATATGGGTATCATTTCCTATATTTGTATGGAATTCTTTTAATCTTGTAGATGAATTATGTTCACCAACATCATTATCTTGTGAATACCTCCCAGTTGCATTATCCACTCTGCTTTACTTCTTGGCAAATAATCATTTTCACCTGGTAGGGTTGCTCCAAAAAAAAAATTCTGCACCTCTGTTGTAATGGTATTTTCTTACATTTCTCTCAAAAAAGGCTTAACCTTGTTCTGAGGTTTCACCTAATGTTTTGTTCTACTTGCCTATATGCATGAACTTCTTTGCTTCTTGTTGCAGCAGACCATGACATGCTAATGTTTATGCAGAATTGATGAGGAGGAACTTCGCAGGTTTTACACTGCTGCAAACGGTGACTTCTCTTGCTTGCTATCTTCAATAAAGAAGACGATCAAATGGAGGGAGACCTATGGAATTCTTTCTGTACAGGAGCTTGAGATGTGGTCAAATATGGTTTTCTGGCATGGATTTGATGTGAAACACCGACCTTGTCTCATTGTACGACTTGGGCTAGCTTGCACCAGCTTGCCATCTCATGATAGACCACGCTTTGCTCAAGCAATCAGTAAGTTTATTTGTCCCCTCTAATAATTTTCTTTGGTTCTCCCCTTGAGCCACCCCTATTGCTGTGAGATGGATCTGTTCAGATCTACTCAGAATCGCTCTTATTCAGCCCTGTGTTTATTGAAGCCCATCTTATTTATCTGAGGATTTTTTTCCCTCTTTCTTCAATGTGAATTGGAGCCTCCTATTGAGCATAACAAACTGAATGTATTGACAGTTAATTAACTTTAAGGCTTGATTCTTTAAAATACTGAAGCATTATTTACATTAGCTTGCTCTAAAAAAATTTTAAGTGTCGTGGTCATGCTTGATTGACCATATTCGGTTTCATCAAGTGTGCAATCCTCAAAATTATTTGGTGCTAATGACGAAGGGAAATTTTCACTGGTGATATGGTTCAATTGAAGCCTTAAGCGGTCTATCTCCTTTGTGGTCTTGAAGTATATAATGCATGCTTGTTTTCATGTATATCTTACCCATTACGTGTTCTGACAGAAATTAATTTTTTTAACTGCAGTTTCTCAAGTAGAGCATGGTGTCTTTCATTTGCTTGATGCCAACAATGCTCAAATTACAGTTGTGGTAGATTGTGAAGGTCTATCTCCATTGAAAATTCCCATGCAAGTTATGAGGACTTGTTCTTCCCTTTTGCAAGATCACTTCCCCAACCGTCTTGGCTGTCTGTTTGTTATACAGCTTCCTCCAGTGCTTCGTGTTATTGCTCAAACTTTTATTCAAGTAAGTCTATTACTCTGATTAGGATCTGAATGTTTGATTTACGGGGTTTACAGATTCTCTTTTGTTTTATGAAGTTCTTGTTATGATTTTAGTAGGTAAAAGCTTGGCACTTCATTGCATTTATGAATAAACATTTATCTGTGGTCTCTTGTCAGGTTTTGAAACCTTACACCCGACAGAAGTTGAGAATTGAAGGCGAGATGTACCGGAAGATTCTATCTGAGTACCTTGAGACACTTCCATCATATCTTGGTGGCAAATGCATGTGCAAAATATGTTCAGATATTAGCATCACAGATATGCAGCAGCCTCACGCAAACGAAATGGCCATGACAGAGCAGAGACCGAATGTGCGTGAGGGTGGGAATCCAGTCACAGCCCATCCAACTTATGAGGCTGAGGTTGACATGGACCGCAATTGTGATCAGGTGCTGAGAACTGCGATAGTTGGCATCCTTATGATTTGGGTTTTCATAGCATTTATTGCTGGATTTATCGACCCTGAAAGCCGTCCCATTTTTCCAAAGTGAGGTAAGAACAAAAGAACGGGCGAGGTTTTAGCTGATATGTTTGGTATAAGTAGCCGTCCCATTTATTCCCCATAGTCTGTTAGCACATAGCGCTTCTTCAAAGTAGCCAGTGCATGTATGCTATAAGTTTTTCCACGGGGTGGGATTTGTTGTCATATATTAGTTGATATGTTTGGTAGTAGAAGCTGTATAATTAGCTTAATTTTTGTATAAGCTAAATATATAGTATGAACTTTCTATGTTTGCCTCTACTTGAATATATGCTTTTATGTCTAGCAGTTAACCAATGCTTCTCCATGTTGGTATGTTACTGTTAGACAGATGAAGAAGTGTATTGTATTCAACACTTTGGTGTCAATATTTATTTGTCATATTGTTAGGATTGCACTGTTTCTTTTCTTCTTTTTTTTTTTTTTTTCCTTCCCCTTTTTAGCCTTTTCCCCATTGAAGTGTGGATTTCAATTGTGGAGGTATGACTGTAAATTTGATTCGTGGAATATCCTAAATAGCCGCTGTCGTATGCTTTAGAAAATCATGGGAGTCAGCCTAAAAAGATTGGGTTGGAGAACTTGTAGGCTTCTAGCATTGATGTTCTTGGATGAAGATGGCTGAAAATAGCTAGTAGTCGAAAAGGGGTATTGAAAGAAGTCAAACCATTATGGGTACTCAGATGGCATCCTGTTAAAAGCTGTCAATTCATTCTAAGGGTGGCAACTTCATCTCTTGATGAT